TGTATGGCATAGAAGAGGACATTGAAGTTGCCCAAGACCACAGAGACAATTTGTAAAAAACTCTGAAACTGGACTGAGAGCCAAACTCGGTCCTTGGATGAGATATTTCTTGCCTTTGTTCTTCTCCAAAAATTCAACAAGATATAGTAGAGACTGGATAAATATAAAATAATATTAATTTATGTTCATTGAGAGCCAACAATATGTCAGGTACCATCTAGCTCCTTTAAATATTCTTCATTATCCTTTTACTGTGACAGGATATTAAAAAGCTAAGAAAATTCTTAGGCAAGTGGAATAAGGAAACTGAGAGAAGAAAATTAAAGAGGCCAAAGAGTTTGAGCAATTTAAAGTCAGCTGGTGAATTGCAACACCTTATCTTCCTTAACCAGGGATACGCGAGAGCAAATGGTTTATACCCCTCCTTCCTAACCAAAGGGTATGTAACTTAAATCTCCCTGGCCTGGGAAATAGAGAACAGAGACCCAGTTAAGGTCATATGCGCCAGCTAAACCCAAGGACAGATGAAGTCAGAGACACAAATATAAAAAACTCCATTAAAATCCAGACAGACCCAAGATAAAGGTAAAACAGTATAGCAGACCAAAGTATACTCCCAACCTCCACCCCCTGCACCCAGATGTGTTCAGTTTAACACATCAGCATCTTAAAAAGGCACCTGGAAAGCTGATGAATATTCTGCTGAAAACCTCCCCTAAGATTCTCACCAAAGAAGAAAGATAAAAACCCTCAAGACAAAGATTCAATTTGAGGTAACTCTACAGTGAGCTTGCCTTTCCTGGCCATGACTTTGTTATTTCCTCCTCAACTCTAAGGATCCCCAGGAGGCGTTGCCACCAGAGGAGCAGTGGGCAGCAGCAGCTTGCCCTGGGCTTACACCATCCCCCATCCTGTCTCCAAGGACCTTTTTTTGTGACTTTCCAGTGAGCTGACAGCAGCCCCACCTTGGCTCACTCCTTCCCTGCGACATTTCTAGGGAGCCAAAGCAGAGCACGGCCTAGGCTGCCTCCTGTTACTCTCCCGTTACTTCTTCTACCCTAAGACCCTGTTCCCAGCTTTAATAAGTGTACTCTCAAAGTCACCTGGACTCGTGTTGTGAAATCTTTGCTGCACAAAGTGAAGAACCCACACACTACAGGCTGGCCTGAGGCAGACCCACTCTGGGGCAGTCCCTGTCTGGTAGTATTCCCATTCTGTCAAAGCCTTCCTGGTGAGAGAGAGAAACTGTTGAGATCTATACCTACCGAACGCCAAATATATACTAGGAATAGAGTTCATTCTTGCTCCAAAGTTTGTATGGTTCCCACTATTACTCACTAAGGCTATAGGAAATCACCTTGGAAATACAACCTTTTCTCCTCAGCACTTGGTGAGATTACCTACAATGAATACATCACTGCACCAGCAGACTCATCTCCCCAAGGGGAGACCAGAGACAGATGGGGAGACCTGACTGTTTCTCGTGTATAATTCAGGTTTGCTTTTAGTGTGCTATTAAGAATTAATTAAGAATTAATGCACTCCCCATTTGCCCACTCTGAGAAAAAAACACAAATGGCTTTTTGAAATTTTGTGGATCTAAAGTGCTTGAAAAGTGAGTCTCATTTCGATTCAATTAACTAGGGGTATTATCTGAAAAGAATTAACTCTGCCATATATCAAACATTTAGAACAAATGAGAACAACTTTTCTTTCTGCTCTTCATTTATTCATATTCATTTGTTCAATAAATATTTACTGAACACCTACTATGTGTCAGGATCAGAGTTCCTTCACCCAGAATCTGGCAGCGGGCACATGACATTGGAGAGCTATAATTTTCCAGCACAGAGGGATAGTGATCAGTGTTCATCCAGAGAAGAGGGTTTGAAAGTTCTGACCAGAGAAATGAGAGGAGCTTTCTGGGAGAGCTGGCATATGCGCAGATCCTTGGAGGAGGGCGGAACAGTGACAGCTTAGGATGGCAAAGCAAGTGGCAGGATCCGCACGCTTCAAAGGCATGGCAGAAATCCAAAAGCAGTGAATGTAAGGAAAGCTAAGGCTAAAAACATAGGCTGGGGTTCGACTGTGAAACAGTTTGAATACTATGTTAAGGAGTTTAAATTTTACCTGGGTGTCAGTGGTTCTCAAAGCGAGATCTCTGGTCCAATAGCATCAGCATCGCCTCAGGCCTTACCCCTGGCATACGGAATCAGCATCTCAGGGTCAGAGGCTGGCTCACCCAATCTTGTAGTTTAACAGATCCTCCAGGTGATGCCAATGCACACCAGTGCTGAGAACCAGTGCTGTAACCACACCTTCCAACGTCTGAATGCTGGGAGTGGCTGACAGGTGTGCTGGAGACGCTGACTTCCCAGGTCCTTTGGTGGCCTGGGCCAAACCTGTCTGTCACGTGGACTGTTGATGAGTGCAACCCTCCTCAGCCTCGGCTGAGAATGGCTTTTACATTTTTAAAGGATTGTTAAAGAAGAAAAGGAAGAAGAGGAGGGAGAAGAAGAAAAATATGAAGAATAAGGAGGAGGAGGAGAAAAAAAATGTGGAGGAAGGGGGACAGTGTGGGACGTAGTCTGCAAAGTCTAAAATATTTACCATCTGATCCTTTCCGGAAACTGTTTGCTGACCTCTGGTGGAAATAAGGAGAAACTGTTTTTGAGAAGAGCAATATGTCCTTAGGATGGATTAAGGACATTTAATGTAATGACTGTGCTGAAAAGAAAAAGTAAAGGGAGCTGGAAGCTGCGAAGCCAAATAATGAACCCAAGTGAGATGGTAAAGGTCTAAACAATGCCATAGTGAGGGACTCAACAACTGAAGAAATCACCTACTATGACCAGTTCAGCAACTCTCGGGATTTGGTTTGCTCTAGTTTTGAGAGAGTAGTGCAATTCTGAGAGCGTAGAAACCTCTTATTTTGTGTGGAAAAAAACAACCTAATTGTTTAATGCATAGTGGGTATTTGGAATTGCCTCCATAATATTTAATTATTGTCTATGCACATAATATGCAAGTAATAGGCACATAAGCATCTCAGTTGTCTTTGATGCCAGGTCCAGGTTAGTAGGTCTGGATGCACCCAAGATGCTTCATTTGTAAGAAGTTCACAGGTGGGGATCACACTTTAAGTAGCTAGATGGAGCTCCAGTGGTTATTTGAAAAGCAAAATTTTAAGCTCACATAGTAAGTATGGGAAATAATCACTCCAGGCACAAACATGTGCCGTAATATATGATGGAATTGGTCACCAAAGCCCCCCTCCCCTGCTGTTAGTCACTGGAAATTCCGCCCTCTTGGAGGGGTGGCTTTCAGGAACAAGTGCCTGAATGTGGAATAAAGTGTAGATGGATTAAAAGGCAGGAAAGAAAATAGCGGAGATGGGAGGTGGGAAGAAAAGGCAGACCCTCCCACAGTGGCCAGAGGCAGTCTAGCCTAATGGGTTGGGAAGTCACACGCCCTTAGACTTCAACTCCAGGCTTCTCCACTTACTAAATGATCTTACACAGATTATTTCACTTTTTTTTGTTTTTGCCATGATTCTTCTTTCACAGATGGGGAGGTCAATTCCTCAGAGTGGTTGTAGGGAATGAGGGAGAAAAAGTCAGAAAATAAGGTGATGTACTAGTGAAACTGTAACAAACTATAACAGTAAATAATTGTAACCTTTAATTATGAGACAAAAATGTATCAGCTCGAGACACAGAGGAAGCTCTCCGCACATCACAAGTATTAAACAAGTGACCTGGAAAGTTATTAATGTTACTAAAGGGTAAATAACCTCAAATAAATCTTTAAATACACGTTGGTCCACATCGAGGAGTTGTGTATTAAGTATTTGGGATTCCCTCCAAGAAATGACATGTAGGTAATGTGGGACATCATTAGCAGTTCGCTTTCTGACTCTGCCACACACACTGTCTTTATTGTTTAGAGCTTGAGCTACATAGTGGATTAGCACTGCCACATTTAGAAAAGCAATTAGACAACAGAAGGTATAAATAACTTTCAAAGGAAATTTGTGTTTTATATCTAAATTACATTTCTAAATTAAAATAAGGCCTTTGAAAACTTTTTGGTGATAGGTGGACATTTACCATGGAATGACATTTCAAGTAGAATGTTACATGTATCTGATGACGAGATACCTTTAGCACCTTAGAGGCAAAGCCTGAGAGGGCACACAAGTTGTTCCAGTTACTCTTAGTTCAATGAATTAAAACTCTCTAGGTCTTGAAGGGCTTTGCTTCTTTATTATTGTCTGGTGTTTCCTTATTTGCCTCAGCCTCTAGGAGCTTTCCTTTCCACTGCACCTCTGCCCCACCCCACAGAGGTGGAGCAGGAAGAACAACAGGCCCTTGGTGCCAGAGAGACCTGGGACCAAACCCAGCAAGGCCTCCACCACTTGGCACCTGCACGACCTTAGATAAGGCTCTTCCTCTGAGAGTGGGTTGCCGTAGCCACGTCCATACCCACTGGGGTGGATTATTGAGGATTAGAGGTAATGTTTGTTAAGTGTTTACACTGAGGCTATACATAGAAAGTAAGAAATGAATGTGGGTCTTTGTTATTTATTACTGAAGTGTCACCTCACGTGATGCCTGTTCTAAGAAGTATTCTTGAAAGCCCTAAAGATGGAAGCCATTTCACTTCCTTTAATATCCGGAGGTGCACTGTGTTTGCCTCTGGTTACTCTTATATGTGGCATTTTGGTTATTTGGTGTGTGGATTATGTTCTCTATAGGTATGGAATCGCGAGACAAAAGATCTAGGTTTCCAGATTCCTATGTGCACCATGCACCCAGTCAGGAGCTAGCTTGCAAATAATAGGTGCAATAATGAATATTCAATGAATATTTCCTTAATACAGTAAAAATCACTTTCTGACAAGACTCACATGAATTTTTCAGTTGGCGTATTTCTAGTTTTTCCTGACTTCTCCAACTTTTCAATGCCCCACCAAAATGAATTACATCAGACACCAAATGTTTCACAATATTTTCCCTCGAGTACGATTTATTTAAGTCATGTATAATTAGAAATACAGAGAATTACAGCAGAATAAAAAACACAGGAATTATATAGCTTGTCTTGTTAAAAATTAAATAAAAGAGGTACTGGTTAAATGAAGAGGCACATGACAACGGTAGGTATGTGCTGGGTAGCTGGGGCAAAACTGCCGAGCGGGATATTGGAAGCACAGGGGCCTAACTCACCAGTCTCCGTCTTCGGGGGATGACTCAGCGCTGTCCGTCGCAGGAGGAACGGGCGCTTGTAACCCTGCGCTGACTCCCCTAATTAGCACTAGGCAGTAGCTGTCTCCGAGGGAAAGCAGAAGGAAGAAGGAAGAAAGTGAAAAGGACAGAAGCAGGGAGGGGAGGAAAAGAAGGGAACAGGGGACGGAGGGCGGAGCTCAGGAAAAGGAAAGTGCATCCCCAGGGTGAGGACTCTCCTGTAACTACGGACCTGTTCTCTCCACTCCTCTGGAAGATCAGCCAGTCCTCCAAGTCAGGGGACCTGGAAAAGTAGGTTAAGCCCTCAGGGAGAAATTGATAAATTCATTATACTCCTCTATTGTTTGAGTAACAAAGTCTATGGACCTTACAGTATTAATAGGAACAAAATGGACATGCTTCCTATGACCATGGCGAAGGAGTGTTTCAATGTGCTTCTCCCTCCAGAGCTTCTCTAGCTTTACTGAAAGACAGCTGGCTCAAATAGGAACAAAAGTAATTAGACTTTCCAGAGTCACATTCTATTTTAAATGCAGAATGTTTTCTAGCTGGTAAATAGCTACTTAAGAAAAGGCAATTAAAGCAGTAGTTACAGTTTCTCCATAAATAGAAATAAAAAGACCCCTTTTAAAGGACAAAACGTCACCATGATGTACATATATAAATTTCCCCCAACACATCAGTATAGATCAGTCTCTACTGCTTACATTTAAAATATTAATTGCATTATAATGTCTATGATACAATTCAATTATATAGCTGTTTTCTACAGAAGATTCTGGTGAAACAAAAGCCAAGAACCTTATTCACAGAACATTTAAAAGCTCTTTATACACACTTTATGCACAAATATATCTTAAATTAGAATGATGCATACCTAATATGCATATAGAATATGGCTTACACTTTAAAAGAGATCTAAGTTGTGAGTTATAAAATCCCACTCTTTAGACTTAAAAGCTTCTGGTTGTACCCATTTCTAAAATATTGCTTAGCATCGTGGAACCCAGAAAAGCAGCAGGTGCAACAGAAAAACTTTTTAGGATGGACACACCCTCCTTCCCTTCAATCAATGGCCACTCTTGATTTTTTTCCATCCATTTTTCTGCCTTTCACAAAAACAAAGCCACCTAGTCTCACAATTATTGAAGTGTTTATACAGTGAAAAGTTACACCACCTAACTGTGCTTAACTTTGCTTGTCAGCTAATAACAAATAAAGGTAGTTCTTCAGGTTGGAGCAAAGGAGAGGCTCTGCACATGCTCAGGCAAAACATGACAGGGGAGCAGAGTCTCCAAGGTGGTTTGTGTAGTGAAATGTAAAGTCACATCAAATAACATTATCTGTACAGAAAAGTGTGGGCTTCCTTTCCCAGATATTTTTGAGTATGCACCCTATATACACAAGCACGCACACACACTCCTTGTCACTTATCTCTTGGCCTGTTATATATTCTGGTACATCCTAATGGGATCAACACCCCAGGAGGCAAATTCCATTCCCAGTTTGTGTGTCTGACTCCAACAACCGCTGGAGGTTCTTGTCATCTTGGATTGCAGGTAATATGTGACTTCCGTGGTGATGGAGCCCGCGTAGGTGAGTCATTGGTGCATCGAAGCCACATGGATGGGTATAGGCTGGTCTACTAGTTCCCAGGACAGGTTTCACTGTGGATTCCAGCTCCAGACTCATGATGCTGTGTTCATCGATCAGGTCATAAAGCCAAGACTATGTATGATGCTCCAGTGTCATTTCAGGACTTCAACCACAGCCTCTGAGCTGTCCTGTCTCTCATTTGTTCCCATGTATTTAAAAGAGCAAGGACGTTCTAAATGGCCTGTTCCTCAGAGCTGTAAAAAATATTTTCCTTCATTTTGTTTTTGCTTTCCTTTTACTTAAGACTTCAAAAAATGTAGTTATAGCATCATGTGTAAAACAGTGGGAGAAAATGAATTTTAAAAACACTTTATCTTTTGCACACATATTGCAGAATCACCCATGCTAAAACTGGGTTCAAAATAATGACAATTTGAATCTGTCCCACTTTTGTCTTAAAAAATGTCTCTGGATCAACTGAAGAAGGCCAAATTGTGGAGGAAAAATGATGGCAGAAGCACTGGCTAAAAACTCTGATGGCAAGTTTGAGTGTATTTATTTGGCCAGAGTTCCTAGCACAGAATTTTATGTTCTTCCTATTAATTCCTTACATAGAAGTCCATAAAAATGGCCCGATCCCAGTGTGTGTTGAGAGAGAATAATATAGTTCTGCAGGAAGTTGAGGAATTAGGATGTTTTAGTACTGTTTTCATTATCCTGAAATGAAATGCAAATGAATATGAAGATCATGTTTTCATCATAAACAGACAACATTTACTGTGTTGCAATTTCCCACTGGACTTTATATACCTTGTGGAAATAAGTGCTTTGTCAGTCTATAATAGATATCCATTCTATATCAGCTAGAATTATTCTTTCTATTTCTTCTCTTTGCATGCATGCATGTGTATGTGTGTGTGTTTTGATCTCAGTAAAAGTTTTGACCTTTTGGATCAGAAGTCACACACTTAAATAGCTATACAGCACTGGCAGGTAGTGTGAATGAGTTAAGTGGGCTTTATGAGTGTAAAACAATTACCAGGATTGTAATGAAGTAAAGATGTTCAAAAAATATTTCAAATCTCGGTGGAGGTCAAATAACACAAACCAGGCTAAATGCAACCCACAAACCATTGGTTTTTAACCTCTTCTTGAAAGTACACTCAACACCAAAGAGCCTGCAAGCAAATATGACCTTCAAACATATTTTGTTTGGTCTATATTATGTTTCAAAAAACTTCAAGCCAACACTAAAAATGCGAAGATTTTACCCCCCCCCCCCAAATCTCTTAACCTGTAGGGACACCCGGAAAGCCTGAGCCTTCACTCTTCCCTGGGGAGGATCTGCCAGAACGAAAGGGTGGCTGACAGCAGCTCACAGGACGGGCGGGCAGTGCCCGCTCTGTCCCCGAGGCTGACCAGGCCTTTTTCCTTCCGGGCACTATCCCTGAGTTGCAGTTGCCGACTGTTGCCACTCCTGTTATTTTCTGATTTCTCCCACTACCATCATTTAAGAGAACTTGCTGTTTCTGGAAGGCATGTGAATTTCACCTAGCTGACTCCTGGAAGATGCTGCACCATAGACAGGCCTTCTCAGATGGAGAGGGAAGTGAATGAACTTAGTAGGTCCTGATGAAAAAAAATTGTCCAGTGGTCCTCTGTCTACTGGGGTTTGAAGATTGCTGTTTAGTATGAGCGGGTCTCAAACTTTTCCAGCCTTGGGGTGTTTTTTTAGTTTAAAAATAGAGAGAGATTCCATTAACTGCCATGTAAATCTCATCAAAATTTTTTACTGACTAGATGCCAGAATCTCACAGATAGTTTTTTTTGCCTTAGACATTTTCATAGTCATCATTTTTACAAATGTGCTGGTAACCTGTGATTCCTACACACAACTTTTAAAAAATGTTTATCCAGCTTGATATTATAAATACATAGAAAATGCTGATCTTTCTTTTGAAGCCATATGGTGTACCTGGCTCAGAGGCATTCGATAGGAAAGAATATTGTTTAATTTTGGTTAACTCAGTTGTCTAATGGTACTTACTTCACAACAAAACCTTTTATACCTAAACATCTATAAATACTCCACTGGATTAGTTTTCCCTAAAATATGTTTTGAGGACTCTAGGGTACATCGTCAGGACCAAGCACACTTCTGGAAACAGCTATGAGCTCTAAAGGTAACAATTTATAGTTTAGATGAAGGGAAAGAAAAGAAATTGGTATAGCTAATATAATATATTAAAATGGTTAAATCTAGAGATGGGTTTTAGTTGCTGTACAGCCACTTTGTGGCTCAATTTCTACCCAAGCTTCATTATGTAAAATGGGATTTATAATCACTACCTCTGGAATGGCTGAGTGAGATAATATACGTGAGATGTTCATCACAGCGCTTACACTTGAAAGTTGATATCAGTAAAACTATTATTATCAATACATCTTTAAAATTTTTTTAATATTTATTTATTTTTAGAGAGAGGGGAAGGGAAGGAGAAAGAGTGGGAAAGAAATATCAATGTGTGGTTGCCTCTCATGTGTCCCCTACTCGGGACCTGGCCTGCAACCCAGGCATGTGCCCTGACTGGGAATCGAACCAGTGACCCTTTGCCTCACAGGCCCTTGCTCAATCCACTGAACTACACCAGCCAGGGCTCAATACGTCTTATAATCAAGTCGAGAATACTGAGCAATGAATCATCTTAAAAACTAATCACCTTTTAACTCTTTCATATCTAACGCAGCATTTGGGGAGCTAATGGTAACATCTTGGTGTGGCTCCCTCAGCATCTTCTCTTGCTCCCACCATCACCCCAGCAGCAAGACACATCATGACATTGGGCTGTGCTCCTCACTACTTAAGGGGACACTAAGACATCTCCACCACAAACACACATCCCTCCCTGCTCACTTGCTGCACCTCCTCTGAAGGCCCAGTACAGTGGTTCTCCACTTCAGTGTACAGAAACGCAACATCAACAAATGGGGTCATTAAAAAATCAGATTTCTAAGGCATCACTCCCAGAGTTAATCATTTGCTGGGTCAAAGGTGAACCCTAGAAACTGAATTTTTAAAAGAGAACCATGCAGGTACATGTCCATGGATTTTAGTAAATATTGATGTTTTCTTCAAAATATGTAGTTTTAACCCTGGCTGGTGTAGCTCAGTGGATTGAGCACAGGCCTGCGAACCACACAATTGCGGTTTGATTCCCAGTCGGGGCACATGCCTGGGTTGCAGGCCAGCTCCCAGCAGGGGACTCATGAGAAGCAACCATACATTGATATTTCTGTCCTTCTCTCCTTCCCTTCTTCTCTAAAGATTAATAAATAAAATTTAAAAAAATATGTAGTTGTTTTATTATAATCATCTGCTGTAAACTTCATATTTGCTACAGGAAAAGTCAGAATTAAACCTCCCCATTGACTATAGCCTATTATTTTTGAAGAACTAAAATGTCTCAGTAAGTATGATTCTTGTTTATAAGCAAAGTAAGAATTTTTTTGAAAAGGTAAATATTTAAGATTATATCAGAAGATAGAAAACAGAGGTTTTAAAAAAAAAAACAAATAATCTGGGAGGATATTTAAATAAGATAACTTTGTCTCTAGTGATATTCCATAAGCCATTCATTTCAGAAATTACATTTCACATCTAAAGAAATAATAATTACCTCTCTTAGTTAACATGACAGAAGCCTTATGGTGTTCTAGACCTATGCACGTGTATCAGCACGGTTTTCTTCAGCATTTACTTGACCTTCTGTGTTCTTATGAAGATCAGGTTCACCTGGAAAATAAGCAAACACAAACAAAGGATAGGCCTGTGAAAAAAACGAGTAAGGTCAGGAAACTGAAGCAACTGGGGAAATGTTGAAGACTACTTCACAATGGGTTCATGTGGCACGTTTCTCCAAAGATAGCAAACATTTTCTTTTCAGCCTGTGAATTTAGAGAGTATAACAAATCATCTTCTGGCCAATGTACAACTTTGTGAAGTTGCAATTTAATCTGGGAATACAGAAATGAAACAGATGAGGCATGTTTAAACATCTAGTAAGTCAAATGTAAAAGTTATGCATGTTTTTCCTGAATATGTCTAATTGAAACAAATTCTTTTAAACAAACCCTCTAATGATCAATGCCTTTTACCGCACCTTGCTTCACTGCTGTGAACCTCAAATAAATGATTGTAAGAGAACAGTAATGTCGAAACATGCTAATCTGCCAAAACAAACTAACGGAATTACAGTCACTTGGCTTTCATATAAACCTTGAAGAAGAAAAAGTAAAACAGCATTTGCATGGAAAATGTTCCAACATTTCTAGAGAAGTTGCAGAGAATCTATCAAAAATAGAAATATAAAGTGAAATGTACAGTTAAAAGAATCTTATTATATGAGAAAGTAAGCAAAAGTCAGAGACATTAATTTTTGAGTCAATTACTCAAACTACTTTGATATTTCAGGAAAGAGTCATATATGATGAAATGCCATTTCTGTCTGAAATATAATTGAAACCATATTAACACTTAAACTTTGCCCCAATTAACTTTGAGATTATTTCTTCAGATATATTATAAGACTACATTCTCTCAGCTGCAACACATTTTCCATTGAGGTTATAAATTTAGTGAATACAAAGAACTTATGAGGCATTATCACAAAGCAAATTTATTTTATTTCTCACTTGATGTTTAAAGTACATTCAATGGGAAAAACTTATCTTTTGTACCAGAACCAAATTTCAGGTAGTATCATCTTTTTTGATCATTCTTAGGTAAAAAAAAAAAAATCACATGATCACATTAAGTTGCCGAAGTTTCAACTCAGACATTAGCAGGTCCCATCACACATCATACACATCGACCTAAGACAAAGGAAAATGCACTATCCAATAGTGGGTGTGTTGCAGAGCCCAGAAACCGTGTTGGAACTGGGGCCTGGTTGATGTTGCTCTCATTTTTCCCTCCCTCCCCACAATTGGCTACCATGGCCTCCTGAGCTGGAGAAAGGAAAGCAGAGGGCTGAGAGGAGCAGTGTGGTAGCTGGACCAGTGCCATTATCATGGGTTTAGAGCTTGATAATGAGTCCTCTGTGAGCACACTCGGGGACTTTTTGCCAAGGAAAATGCCCAGAGACTTTCACCACCTAGACATGGGCACATGAAACTCTGGTTCCTTGGTGATGTTCATGGCCTTTGGAAATTTGTTGGTGCCTTTCCAGCTTCTGTCTGCTGAGGTACGATCCCCCTTTCAAACATGGGTGGGGCATATTTGGTTCACAGCAAACATTGGTGAGGCAAGGGTTTGATTTCTTGAGGAAAGACTGAAGTCTACACTGGTTCATCTGTCACCATCAAATCCTTTATATTTCTCATCTAAGAACTAGACTTTATTCCCAAAACTCTGTTAACTTCAAATTCCTCCACGGTTCTGGTGAAGTTTTCTTCCCTTGATTTGAGATGAAGAGAGAAACATTTCCCAACACCAGAGTGGTCATTAAAGAAATCTGTCTGCATTGGCTGGTGTGGCTCAGTTGTTTGGAGTGTCATCCCATGGGCTGAAAGGTCATGGGTTTGATTCCCAACTGGGGCCCATGCCTGGGCTGTGGGTTTGGTCTCCTGTCAGAGTGTGTGAGAGAGCCAACGAATTGATGTCTCTCTTCCCTATATATGTTTCTGTTTCTCCCCTCCCCCACCTGTCTTTCTCCCTTCCCCTTTCTAAGCATGTCCTCTGGTCAAGGTTAAAAGGGAGGAAGGAAGGAAGGAGGGAGGGAAGGAAGGAAGGAAGGAAGGAAGGAAGGAAGGAAGGAAGGAAGGAAGGAAGGAAGGAAGGAAGGAAGGAAGGAAGGAATAGGAAAGGAATAGGAAAGGAATAGGAAAGGAATAGGAAAGGAATAGGAAAGGAATAGGAAAGGAATAGGAAAGGAATAGGAAAGGAATAGGAAAGGAATAGGAAAGGAATAGGAAAGGAATAGGAAAGGAATAGGAAAGGAATAGGAAAGGAATAGGAAAGGAATAGGAAAGGAATAGGAAAGGAAAAGGAAAGGAATAGGAAAGGAAAGGAAAGGAAAGGAAAGGAAAGGAAAGGAAAGGAAAGGAAAGGAAAGGAAAGAAATCCGTCTCACAAATCCTTTTTCAACTGTCAACAGCCTGACTCCTTCACTTGCTTGAGTTGGGTGAGGGCTACAAGCATGCTGTAATCAAGTTAAGTCAGTCTGTTTGGACATTTATTATCTAAGAGTCTTGGCTTAAACTTCTGCTTTAGTATCCTGTTACTTACAATTAAATTAGAAAAAAACAAATCAGACTAGAAGGAACAGGACAGAGTGGAAAGAACACACTGAATTAAAAGAAAGGAATATAAGTAATTAGTTGTATGACTCTCAGAAATGTTCAGAGACCCTTTTACAATGGACAAAGGACACTGAGGTCCTTATAGCTAGTGGTTAAAAAACTCACCAGTAACAAAAATGGGCAAGGAACAGAATCATCAAATGGTACCAATGCTGTAATTACAAAATTAAATACCAAAAGGATATACAGATTACATCCATGAGTAATTGTATACATGTAATTAGAAAAGCAGCAATTAAGAACTATGACCAACTTAAGACAGGAATTTTGCTACACTGAAAACCAAGCAATTTCCTTGAAAAACTAAAAATTCCAGATGTTTTCAAGTTCACATACACAACATTGCCAAGCAACTGCATGGCAGACAGACTGCTTAGGAAAATGCTAGGGTTCCCTGCAAATTCAAATCATATTACTTTTACTAAATAATTCTTTAGTTGTAGAATACTTTTCAATTAACTTGGATAATACTACTTGGAAGTAACAACTAGTCTTTCATTAAAAAGAGAGTTGTATCGCTTTGACCCATCACTCAGCCAGAGCAGAAATGATTTTCTTTATTCAATCCATTATAGGTCATCTTGGCTCATGAGTGACCTCTGTAAAAGGCCTTCAGACACACCCAGGCTTTCCCAGCTTCCGAATGTTTCTGAATCATGAGCCCCTCTTTTTAGTTGGTGAAACTAGGACCTCAAAACAAAATTTATAAACAAATAAAATGAAACACATAGGATTAAAAAGTATTCCACTTACATTACAATATAATTATCAACATATTTCAGTTATCCTAATGGTGCAATATAGTAATATATGTGCTTCTTTATTAATGCACTAAATCACAAGGTCTAGCTGCAGGCTTCTCATCTGTGCAATTTTAAAGTTATAACAATATCCAAGGTAATATCTTGGGTAATGTCCAGTAATATCTCAAGGTATCTTCACAAATGTTATGAAAATGTCTATGATTGCTGTTGGTGACAAATACTACAAACATTACTCTGTGTATTGTAGCCTATAAATAAAGGAAATTCTAAATTTCAGTTAAAGGTTAGTAAATAATTACTCTTCAAGTATACAGACCTCAACTGTATAATTATGGGTTACAATTTTTGAGAGAACCTAATTTCACAGGTAAGAAACAGAATCAGATTAATGAAGTGATTTCCTCCAGAATGGACCAAAACTAGATAACCTGAAGTCAAAACTAGTGGAGTTTACCTTCCCACTATTTCAGCAAGAGAAATAGAGTGACCTTGGAATTTCGTTTTACTGGAGGTATCTGAAAACTCACACACATAGGAAGCTACTCCTTAGGAATGAATACAACGAGCATGTTCAAAACAAGTGTACAAAAGGTGGTTTGACAGCCGGAAAAGAGGTAGTGAAAGTAAGAAACCTCTGATAATTCTGTTCATCTCAAAGAGCTTTTGCCTGTTCACCTAATCCTGCTTCAAATATTAAAATTTGAAAAGATATAAGTTGTAAGATGATGGAAATGTTGCTTTATAAACAGCTTCTGAATGCGGCAGGGACAGGGAGCACAGTTGTCAGAGGAGGAACAGACAAACGAAAACAAAGAGAAATCTTGTAAATTGACCCAGTCCAAGCTCCTAGCCTGCAACATGAGCTATTATTATATTAGAATCATAGGGTTAGTTTGGTAGATGATATAAATAATACTTCCAAGGAGTAATATAAGGTGCACTATCAAGTGGATGTTAGAGATTCCAGTCATCTTGCTATGGTTTTGCTGGACTGTTTTTTGAAAAGTAATCCTTTAGGATAAATTATTATACCATTTAAAATATAAAAATAATAGCCAATACTTTGTGAGTGACTGCTAGATGGTGAGCACTACTTTAAAGGCTTCACTCATCTCAATTCCCTGAATCCTTACAGCAAACCTGGGAGGCAGGTTTAACAGCTGCGGAAACTGAGGTGGAGGTCGAGTCGTCTGCCCAACGTTTCAAGACTATTGAGTGGCTGATCCCTCTGACAAAGTGCAACCAGAACCTTAACCTCCAGTTCTACCATTTCTCCAACTACACTCATCTGCTTGTTACTTTCACCATTCATCAGTGGAGAGAGCAGGTTTTTGTGTTTTCATCTGGAGAAAATGAGAGAAGAGTCAGGAAAGTGTGTCTCCTTTGATTTTGGTCATTTTCCCATGGAGATTAAAAACACTTAGAATGTTAATCAAGCTTTGTCATCACAAAGCTTGTGTCTATCATGCAAGCTTTGTCATCACAATTTTCAGAAGATACTACAGAAGATAGATTCAACAAATACTGTTGGTATGCATAATAAAAATTTAGTGGTCTTTAGATTTTTTATGATATCCTATAAATATCTTTTGATCAATTTTTAGAATGAGTTGAATAAAGGCTGCTAAATACCCAAACATACTATTTTTCCCATTTAATTTAGCTTTAA